TTCTGCTTCCCCCACCCATCCTCTTTCCTGTATATTAATTTTGATATTGTTTTTTGTTTGGAGGACTTACAGAAGGCTTTAGAAGATTTTAGGGAAGAACTTGAGTAGACAGACATTGCCTGCTTGCACAACAGTTGCACCATCTTGCAATTTCACAGCTGGCTTACAGAAAGCCACAAAGCCACAAAGAAAGTAGGGAATAACTCAAGAAAATCTCTTGACAGTAGATGCTGCCTGTTTGAGACAAGCATAACACATCAGTCCAAGGATTGAAAAACCAGTGCTCCAGAATTGCTTAGAAATAAAAATCCCCTATTTACATTCTTCCAGAAAAGAGTGCTAGACATATAATTTCTCAATAATGCATTACATTTTGAAAGAATAATTCCTGTTCTTTAGATTAATCTACTTCCCCTCCCACCCCCCATGTGAAGTATTCCTCGTGGTACAGGAAGACAGAGACGTGGCTGTAGAGCATACAAAGTGGATTCTTTATGGAAACTACTGACATAAACACAATGCATCTACTCATGCACTTTACAGTGCATTAAACTAATTTAATGCACAGTAAAACACTACTGTCTATACATGCACTACAATTAGTGTGCAGTAGATTAATTTACTCTGATGTAGGATGGTCAGACACAGGCACTATCCTACACCACTGTAAAGTACTGCATGTACATGTATGTGTAGATGGTGATGTCAGAATTACTTTACTTCAGCTCAAATTGAGCCAGGGTATATTCAGTCACATTAATTCTACATGTAGATGCACTCACTGATACTCTTTAATGTACTTTTCTATCTGCCAAACTAAGGACTACATGAGCGCAAACCTCTTGTATTTGCTTCAAGAAAGCCATTAATATCACATCAAAATTAAGCATGTGCTTGTGTGCTTTGCTGGACCAGGATCCAACTAAATGCATCCTGTGATGTCTAAGGATACCATGCAGGCCCTTCCAAGTCTTGGCCTAGAAATGCCAACAATGGAAGCTGTAGCACAGAGAGGACACTGGTGTCCTCCCACTGCATTCAGAGTAAATCTTCACAACACTGGGCACGTTTACATATGCCCCTTTAGTGCCACTGTTACTGCACTGTAATAGCCCATACTGTGCCTGCCAGTGGCACACATTTATTTTTAGCCCCTGCATTGCCATAGCAATGAGTTGTGTTATAGCAATAGCTATAATAGCGGTTCCCAAACACTGTCAGATTGTGCAGCACTAATTTAAAATGATACACCCTTAAGTACCATCAGCAAATTTTTGTCATATAAAGTAATTATAATAAATCTGTTAATGTATACCATTTACAGGTTGTCTGCGTACTACTGGTGGTACCATGTGCAACTGGTGCCTCCTGACTCTGGAGAGGGCACCAGTGGCCAATCACCGACCCTGGAAGTGCTGGTGGGAGAACTGAAAGTGCTGCCGATGCTTCTCACAGGGGGTACCAGCTCGTGTTCCCCACCTCCTGGCCAGCAAGGGCCAAACTCAGGGGGGCACATGCCCCCCACCCCCCGTGCCCTCCCCACACGTTGCCTGTGGGTGGTACACATACCACAGATTGGGAACCACTGTGATATAACAAGGGAGCACATTGCTATCGCAAAGGAGCTACAGCATCAAGGTTTTCGCCGGCGGTTGCTACGGTGATGTTATATCATGTATAGATGCATCCACTGTGATCAAAATGCTCGTAGGTGATCTGGATAGTGTTTCCACCCTTTGGGAATTCTGATGGAGTTGCTTCAGCACTAGGGGCAGATTTCTTGAAAGGAGCCAATATACATAAGGCAATAAATGCCAAAGAGTGACTTGATTACAAAAGACTACACAGTCCCAAACAACATTTTAATTACTGTAACATCCCATATCTAGCTAATGGAGAGGTAGGACTGATTTTTTTTAAGGAGGAAAAGAACTACAGCTGGCTGGAAAACACTACTGCGTGCTTCTTGGTAAAGCAGGGCTATCTGCAATCCAAGCAATATTTCAAATGTTTCTTCTCCAACTTTTTCTTCTTTGTTACAAATAGGTTCTTCTGGAGGAGGCAGGCTCAGCTGACAACAAACGTCTGGCCAAACACTATCACTGGCTCCTTTCCTCAGCTTATGGGAAATGTGGATGCTGCTTATGAAGTTGCTGAGAGAGGAGTGGCTTATTTTTTTAAAGGTCAATCTTCTTTATGAATTTGGATAAGAAAGTTCAGGGAGGGAAAATCTCCAACTTTCCAGCCTCTGGAAAGTTGAACGTGTTTCCTTTGATCACCAGCTACATCAAACCTGCAGACAGCAGTTTCTTCAGCTAAAGAGCTGCTGGAGGAAACTAAGAGACAGCTTATTGGTGCATGTTCGGTGCCACAATAGCAGTGCTACAATGCTAGTATGTGAGGAGCAGGCATGGTCAGTCTAACACAGCAGTGGTATGTCTCAGCCTGGTATTGTCTTGCAATATATAGACCTATCCTGTAGTCTAAGTCAAAGAACCATTAATAGCAGAGAAAGACCCATGTGTGTGAGTTATACTTAATAACCTTAAGGAGAAAGTAAGTAACACCCCACTTTTTCTGTGTCACAAGGTTTCATATGTAATGTTTAGTTCTTAGCTAATTTACAGCAATACAGCAAAGTTTTCTTTATTCTGACTTGAATGGTTATGTCTGAATTGCTTCACCTTGCTATGAAGATAGGCAGAAGCAGAGCTCAGAATACCAGAATTACTCCTCAGTAGAAGAATGTTATTTAAAGAGACTGGGTTTTTGGTTGTAGCTGGGTTGGTCCAAAGAAATAGACAGGCAAGGTTCTTTGAGTAGATGTGATATTTGTTATTAGACCAACTGAGCAGAATATTTTTCTAACTAAGTGGAACTTTTTTCTAACTATTCAGTTGGTCTAATAAAAGATATCACATCTATTCAAAGAACCTCGCGATTTAAAGGAGTAAAATTTAAAAAAACAACACCCTCCCGCCCCCAAGATTACAAGACTATTTAATAGCTACAAATGCTAGAAGGGACAATTGGAACCCCCAGTCTCACTTCCTGCTATAATGTAGGCCATTGTATTTCACCCATAATCCTTGCATCAACAAAGTTGAGCTAAAGTACCTCTTTTAGAAAGGATTGGAGTGTTGGTGTAGCTGTGATGCTACAGGAACTGTGTAAGTGGCAAGAGTTTAGTGTGATATCTCTAATTCGCCCAACTGTATAGTTGGGATAGATACTGAACAAGCTTTTAGGCATCAAGTGTCCTTCCTCTGGTCCTTCCTCAAGAGGACATCACAGAAAACGTCCGGCCAGCTTTCCTTTCTCCTTTACAGTGAGGGGGATCCAGTATGAGTGCTTCTGCTGATAACAGTAGTGACACTATGACAGAGGGAAAAAGACAATCTGTCAGGTAGCCATGTCCCAAGACAGTTAGGACCTCATAAGATACTATCCACATGTTAAGGTACACTTAAAGACTAACAAGCAGACAATAAAGGCATTGAAATACTGATGTCATGTGGCCTACATGAGACATTCCCCAAATCATGCGGTGCACCAGTATTGTTAATTTAAGTGGGATTTTTTTTCTATAGTTAAGATGGACAAATTGGATCTCAAGTATATTGCAGAGAAGCTGACAGTCCCAGTGAAATATACTCTATTTTTTTTAGGTCCTCATTATTGGGTAACTCGAGGATTTCAAATGCAGGGATCTCCTCGAACCATCTCAGACTTTGGGTTTTCAAGAAAAGTACAGCACATTGATGCAGCTGTCCACCTAAATGATGAAAAGAAGACACTCTTCTTTGTGGGAGATGAATATTACAGGTGAATAATTTATTTTCAGTTATTTTAGAACTGAAACAATATTATTGTCCAATAAGATAAAGGAGATACAAATGAAAACACTTTAATCCTATTTGTGTCAAAAAGAACATTGAGGACATGGAGAAGTTAAAAAGGGTGCAGAGGCAAGTGACAAAACTAATAAAGGTCTTCAAAGGCAAGTCATACCTGGAGAGGTTAAAGTAAATAGGACTGTTCAGCTTGCAGAAAAGGTGCTTAAGAGGAAATAGGATAGCAGCCTTCAAATATCTGAAGAGTAAAAAAGAGGGAAAATACCTTTTCTCTTTTACTGCAGAGTAAGACATGGATCAGTGGCTTAAATTTGCAGCAAAGTAGGTTTAGATTGGATATTAGGAAAAAAACTTCTGCACTGTTAGAGCAGTGAGGCAGTGGAATAGACGGCCTAGGGAGGTTGTCAACTCTCCATCATGGGAGGTTTTCAAGAAAGGGTTTGGATAAGTATTGGTCAGGAATGATCCAGGAGTAGCTAACCTATGATGTTTATTGGGTATTTCCCATGCTTGTGGACTTTGCTAGTTACCATATGGGGCCAGGAAGGAATTTTTCCCCCCCTCCTGCTGCTACATGTGTCAGGGAAGGACCCAGAGGGAGGGGTGGGGAGCAGGGTTCCTTCCACAGAAGCATTGGGAGTTGGTTTCAGCCAAGCCATGAGGATTGTGACTGGGATGTGCCAGTGCTCCTGTTGGACCTTAAATCCAGAGTTTTCTAGCTAGAGGGTCTGGTCCCTCCACTCAGTATCAGACTGATTATCATTTTGGAGTCAAGAAGAGATTTGACCTTGTGATCAGATTGGTATGGACTGTGGGGAGTTTTGCCTTCCTCTAAAGCAGGGGGCATGGCCCTCTCCCTTGGATCTCAAGTGTATATTCAACAATCCCGATAGCAGCAGGACACTAGCCACCATTGTCTCCCTGCTTTAACTGTGCCATGTTAGGGTGTTATGTCTTGTGAGTATGTCAGGGTTGAATGTGTAGCTCTACTAATAGGTTAGTGTGATGGGATTGAACACCCCCCCCCCCCCCCCCAAGGGGTGGCCATAAAACCCTTTTGCCACATGGCTCCTTCCCTACTCTGGCTCCTAAGGTACCCTTCCTCTTTTCTCGTCTGCCATGCCTTTGTTGGAGTACTTTGATTACAAAAAAAGAAAGGCTGCCCCACGGTCGCAAAGTGAGCCTTTGTTTTGACTGGCAAGTCTCTCTCCTGGATCCTGCTGCTTCCAATGTTGCCTTTATGTATGCAATGGACCCTCCTGGCCCCATCCAAGTTCCAGGACACCAGTTGCCTAAAGGGCTACTCATGGCCGCTGTCTACCTCTATAGATTACTTCATGGTGCTACATGGATAATTACTATTATGCTAATATTTCCATTGGCATTTACAAGTTAGTGCTTGTTACTTGCTACTTTTTGGTACCATGTGCAATGAAGAAACCCTAGCAGAAAATTTCAGTCAAATATGTTCACTGAGTCAGTGCCATCAGGAATGTATTCTATTTATGAGTGAGAACCATATATCTACATTGGCTGTCAACATAAACATTAATATAGTTCAACTTTCAGTTTTGAAAGTTTTTACCTCTTTTTGCCCCTTTTTTTTCAAGTTGGCTGCTCAAAAAGCAAAGGAAATTTTTTAATAGATTATATGAAGGGAGGAAAACAACAGAAACTGGAAACTAAAACTTTTTATTTTTTTCTTTTTCCTTCACAAAAATAGGAAATTTCTCCCAAAAATCTCCATGAAAATGTTCATGTTCTAAAAAAAATGTATCCAAAGAATTGCTTTTGACCAAAACAATCTTTTAGCAGATTTTCAGATAGCCTAATTTAAACTCAGTCCACACTATTCAAATAGATAATAGAAAAGACAAAGAGTGGGTGTAATATTTATTTTCACAGTTGCCCAAACCAATAAGCAACCATATTGCTTCATTCCCAACAAGCCACAAGCACATCTGTGAAGGGAGTATTAAAGCCATTAGACCTTGTTGTGCTAAGGCATGTGTACTTTTCTTAAGTTCAAGGATAATGCAGTAAGTTAGGGTTCAATTTTGGGCAGATCATACAAATAAAAAGCAATTAGCAGTGTTTTCCTAGATTATGTTTATAGACATTTTTCATAATGTCTGCATAATTGCAGATACAGGCAGACCTGGACAGGTTCAAGAGTTGGATAGACTAGAACCAGATGAATTTTAATACTTCCAAGTGTAAGTTGCTCCATCTGGGGGCAAACAACCCTTAACGTACATACAGGCTCGGTAGTGACATCTTAACTTGCACCATAGCTGAAAGGGACCTAGGGGTAATGATTGACAAATATAAGCCATAAGTGCAAAGTGGTGGTCAGCAGGGCAAAAAACCCACTGGCATACATCAACCGATGCATCTCGTATAAAACTAAGGAAGTGATACTCCTGCTGTACTCAGCCCTGGTGAGACCTTAGTTTGAGTACTGAGTCCAGTTCTGGGTGCCGCACTTCAATAAGGATGTGGAAAAACTTGAGAGGGTCCGGAAAAGAGCCACCCATATGATCATGGACTTGCAAGGCAAGCCATATGAAGAAAGGCTGAGGGACCTTGGCCTCTTTAGCATAAAGATGAGAAGGTTGAGAGACGACTTGATAGTGGCTTACTGCAATATCAGAGGAGTGCATCAGGAGTTCGGTGAATAACTGTTCACTAGGGCACCCCCGGGGAAGACCAGGACCAATGAATAAAAAGTCCTGGAAGGCTGCTTCAGGCTTAATACCAGGAAAAACTCTTTCATAGTCAGGGTGTCCAGACTTTGGAATAAACTCCCTCCAGAAGTGGTGCAGTCACCTACAATGGTGGTTGTCAAGAGACTGGACAGTCACCTTGCTGGGGTCACCTAATCCCAGTTGTCTTCCTGCCCAGAGTGGGTGGCTGGACCCAGTGATCTGCAAGTTCCCTTCCAGCCCCTAACAATCTATGAATCTATGAATAAGTGTAATCCTTTACATAGTCCCTCTGACACCTGGGTTCCCATGGAAGCGACTGGTTAACAATGGCATCTAAATGCTTATAAATAACACCAGAACTGACTTTCCCTTTCACTGGGCACATCTACATGTACCCCTGACTATGTAGCAAGTACAAAATAACTGCCCAGCTACTGCACAGTAGCTCATTGCTACTGTACTGTAGCAGCGGCATCATTGTTAGTGCCTGCCAATGCTATGGTGATGTAGCAACAAGCTACATTGCCATAGCTCATTGCTATGGTGACATAGCGTCTCATGTAGACATGCCCACTGACATGAGAATAAGACATAGATCTCAGAGCAATGGACTTGATATATACATTTTTTACCAGTCCTTGTATATCTTCAGTTGTCCTAAAACTACCCAGTAAGTCAGCAGTTAGGTTATGTTCCCTGGAGTATTTGCTGTCCTGAATTTGGCCTTGCTAAAATAATTTGATCAGTTGTTTTTTTCAACTTCTTTAAATCATTAATAGAAATGTAGCATCCCCTTAAATTATTTTGTCTTACTCATTTGTTTATTTATTAGATGTACATGCCATTCTCACCAAAAGAAGCTCAAGGTGGCTTACAATAAAAAACAGATAAATTATAAAGGGTGTGTGTGTATGTGTAAGTGCATCTCTGTGTGTGTGATAGACAAGCTCCCCAGGCAATGCCCCAAAATGTGACCCTGAAGGCTGAAGGCCTGCCCAAATGTAAAGGTCTTACAATGCTTCTAGAAGATGACCAGACTTAGGCTTTCACAGACAACAAGTGGAAGAGAGCTAAGAATTGACTGCTGAGAACAGCACATAAACTCAGTACAATGATAATACTTGCAGGATGTTGCTCTTGACTGACCTTAGGGATTGCAATGGAACAGAAGGGAGAAGGTGGGCCCTGGGGCCACAAATGACCCCCGTCCAACCCCATGTGCTAGGATGAGGCACCATGCTGCTCTGCACTCTTGATCCAGCACAAAAGGACATGCTATCCAAAACATAGATCTCTCATGGGGCTGGAAATTCAGCAGCCGGGGAGCGGTACTACTGCTCTCCAGCCACCAAATTTTCAGATCCAGCTCAGGAGCCCCCTCAGCTCAAAGACATGGAATCAAGGGCTGGACCTTGGCCCCAGGTCAAGTGTTGAGTGCCCCTCATTTATGAGTGTAATTGTACAGTCTTGTACAGCCTGATCACTTATACCAAAGGCAATAGACAGAGGCTGCAGTACATCAGCAACACAATCCAGTAAGACTGAGTAGGCCTGATGCAATTCTATAAGGGAGAAATAAAGGTTCCCTTATGCGAACTTGGTGGCTGTGTTAGAGCTAGCTGGATCCCAGGGACCGAATGGAGTGCAGTGAATACATCCGAAGACATGGTTTTCTTCCTATGGAGATTTGGTAGGGAGTAAGCAGAGTTATGGCCCTATCTTTCTCCATGTCCTGTCCAAGACAGCTAGCCATATTACTGTCAGGAAGTAAGCAGCACCCAAGAAAGATCTGAAGCAGGCTCCCCCATGTTCAGGGCTATGATTAAAATGTACCATCTACCTCTCTATAGGATTTACAATGAAAGGTAACTACCATTCCAGGGTGTTGGTTGTAGCTGTGTTGGTCTAAGGCAGTGGCTCCCAACCTTTTTTTGCTGTGAACCTAAACTGACCACCAGCAGGACCTCCTGACCCAACACCGTGGGGGCTGCTAGGAGCAGAGTACAGTGGTGGCAGCAGCTTGGGGGTGGGGGAGCTGCCATTGCCCCCTTTGTGCGCAGCAGCCCCACCCCACCCGCCCCCTGCTCCTGGGCCACACACATGAGTGTGCATATGTGTGCGTGTGCGGGCCCTTCATGACCCTACTGAGGACCTCCCACAACCCTGATTTGGGTCACGCCCTGAGGTTGGGAACCAATGGTCAAAGGACATAGGCAGACAAGGTTCTTTGGGTAAATGTGATATCTTTTAGATAGTTGGTCTACTAGAAAATATCACATTTACCCAAAGAACCTTGTCTGCCTACCATTCCAGGGACATTTTTAATCTTCAGAGAAGACAGAGGTTATATTACTCTATTCATACAGTTGCCTTTATTGATGAACTGTGATATTCTTCTCTCCTAAAGCTATGATGAAGCAAAAATGAGGATGGAAAAAGATTATCCAAAGGGTGTTGATGAAGAGTTCACAGGAATCAAAGGCAAAATAGATGCAGCAGTGGAAGTGAATGGTGAGTATTTATCTATAGATCCACTCACACACACAGAAAATGGACACAAGCCTGTCAATCACTCCTTAGAGAGCACTTCAGAGATCATTCTGGTGTACGCCAGTGGGGGTAAAGAACATATGCCCAGATCTTCCACTGATCTAAAAGTGCATAACTTAAAGATACTCTGAAGATCCATTATAGCATTGTATTAATAACAAACCCTAGGATATGATATTCATTTTAAATGAGCTTTTTAATTTAGTTTTTTATATATTCTGAAATCTTTTAGTGTTCCCTCTTAAATTTTCTCTTAGAAAAATGTGGAAGTAAAAGAACTGTGACATCTTAGGTATCTTTATCATATCATGTATCTATGTTAATTGAAGTTAAGCTGAACCTTCTTTGAATTCAAATAAAAAAAGAGACTATTCAGAAACAAAACGAGGTAAACTCTACAAATCAGAAGTGCAAGGAGTAGAGTTCTAACCCAAAATACCATAATTTATGTTTGGCTTCATTGTTAGAGTAATTGCAATATGCACAAAGTAGCTGATCTATGTTGAAGACAACATCCTACTACTGGTCATAGCAAATGGAGTTTGACCCTAATTTAAAGGTCAGTGCTTTACAGTTAAAAGTCACAGATTCAGTCCCAATGGTAAGGTTACACTGCAGTGACTGCAGCTTGTCTAGACAGAGATTAACTGGTTTTAAACTAGCTAAGGTACTAAGCGCATCCATGACAGCACAAACCTTTGTATGAGCTAACTATTACAATGTTTACTCAGCTTCTCAGGCAAGCTAGCTTGGTTATGTTGACATGGTCTGTAGGCACAATAGTGCTGAAATGTAAAACTGTCAAATGCCAGGCCCTTACACAAGTAACCCATTGGCAGCAGAAAATAAAGTAATGTTTTATCAACATGTAATTTATTAATAGACATTTGCTCATGTAAAGAGCTTGAAAGAGACAGAGAACAACCAATGCAATGACAAAACAAATATATAACAACAACTATAAGGTACATCCAATAAGCTATTTATGCTAAGCATTACTAAGAAGCTTATATGTCCATGTCCAGTCAAACAGACTCATATCTCATTATGCCTTCTAGGCCACAATTAATTGCTTCAGCACTGAGTCATAATAGGAACTGTATCTAGGAGTTATGTCTGCTGATTATTGCAAAACTCTTCCTAATAACAAAGACAAAATGTACTGGTGGTTTTACTATAATGCCTTTTAGTGCAGTGCCATGCCAATATACCCAGTTAAGTTTAAACTATCTACTTTTGGTACTGATAGTAGTTTAGCTGCACTGTAACAGCTTTAAAACCTGCCTAAGCAGCAGAGTAAACTCTCACGTGGTTGGCTCACTCTGAACAACATGCTGCTGGCTACTAGTTTAAAGCTGGGTCAGGTGTCCCACACTACACTGCAGCCACAGCAGGGACTGACATGTAGACATACTCCATGCTCTGGCCTATCTTGTGCTCTGGCACATGAAAATATCCAACTCTCCTGGGCTAGGGACAGACATTCAAAAAGCCTGAGCCTGAATTGATTCAATCTTTGCAAGTTAGTCTAACCTGGCTAGTATAAATCACTTTGTAACTGCACAGACATCCCAGGCATGCACACATGTGCCTGCAGTGGCTTAGGCTAGAAGCTGGGGTGGGGGCACTAGAGCAACCCTCCCTTCCCTTCCACAGTACTGGGCTGAGGGGGGCATGGCCAAACCCCAGAAGGATGCTCTGATTAGCCCATCAGGGAATTGATAGCATAGTGTTTATCACCCCTAACTCACTGTTTATCACTCCATTAAGAAAATAACAGAGGGACATTACCAGCTACCTGTTGATTCTGCCTGTTGATTCTACCTGTTGACTCAGCACAGACCATAGCCAGCATGTGGTCTGCTAGCTAATACACAGACACCTCTCATCAAGGCAGGGGGGAGGGGGGAAGTCCTGCTTAGCAGGGAGTGGTGAGGAGGAGCCGGGGGAGCAGCTTGCAGTCTCTGCCGGAGCTGCAACCAGGGAGCAGAAGGGAGGAGCCAGCCCTGCTGTGGAGCAAAGAGCCCCACCCAGCCCAGAGAGTATGCCAGAATGCTAGGGGAGTCTGGTTTATCTTAAACCAGCAAAGGGTCTGGGACAAACATAGCATAAACCAGTTTGAGCCAAATCAGTTAAGTCTGATACTACATTAAACCAGGTTTATCTCAAACCGGTTTCAGCCATTTTGAAACTGGTTTACATGCACTAAACATCTGTTCTGTTACAGGTTTAAATCCATTTCTGATCACTTAAACCAGTTTATGTGTAATGTCTGTCCCTAACCTTCAGGGCCCAATCCTGATGGATCTTCTGGACTTATAGAAATAACCAATAAAAACACTACTTGATTTTGAGTCTGTCATTTTAGAAAACTCAAGGTCTAAAGGTGCTATTAGTCACACATCATCATGTCACAGTGACTGCTTTAATTCTTCATAAAAAAAGAGAATCCCCACAAATAGTTGGTATTTTAAATGCCTCTGTAATCTCCTACTTATATACCCTGAAATTCAAACAACTGTCAAAAAGTGAGTCAAACAGTCTGATACACATCTATTAAGACATGTACAGTATTGTATTGCAAGAGGGAAATTACAAAAAGTTAGTTTCTATAACCAGTATTTCCTTTTTTTTTAAGGATTCATTTACTTCTTTTCTGGCCCTAAAGCTTATAAATATGACAGAGAGAAGGAAGATGTGGTTAATATTGTGAAAGCCAGTTCCTGGATTGGTTGCTAAACAAACGCTGAGACAGATCACAAGTGAAGGTGGAAGAAACTGAAAGTTTCCCGAGAAGAACTGAATGTTTCCCCTGAGAAGAACATTTTGCAGGGTGAATGTTATAGCTCAGCCCAGAAAACTATTAAAATAAATATGTTACTACAGTATTGGAAAGTGTAGCAGTCTCATCTTAGAAAGCCCTGATCACATGAATTTTGTAAGTCTGTCCATAGATAGAATTAATTCTAAATTAAATTAAATTAAATAAGAAATCCTTTCTGATCAGGCTTCAGTGGCCCATGTGAAATAAGTTGTTCAATGGACAGGTGCTCCAATGAGAGAACTACAACTGTAACTGATATGAACTGGCTCCTCCTGCTGGTATCAGCAGAGACGCCCCTAAAAAATGTGAAGGAAAAACTGCAGTGCTTTGCTAGAAATGTCCCCAACATGTCAAATGAGACAGAATGGTACAGGGAAGTTGGCACTACGGATGTCTATGCTTTGGCACCTGTCATCAGCCCAGCTTTTATTAATGTCAGAAGGGATGTCTGAACAAATTTATTCATCCTACAGACTATATCTTATTTTGCGTTGCTTTGTGCATGAGATTATTTACAGAAATTACACAACTATTCAGTTAGCAAGTGTAGGCTGGGGTACTGACACACCTGATTGGTAGCTCAGAGATCTCAAGTTTGAGGCCACAGCAGAAGTGCTCATGGTACAGATCTGTCAGATTTCAATGAAATCTGTGAGTTCTGTGAAATACCTTGTCACAAGAATACAAAAAGGAAGAAAGTTCACAAGAAGCAACACTGGGAGATTTGTATATTGTATGAATATGAACAATAAACAATCATGATACAGTTATAGATTTACAGCAGCAAATTCTGGAATTTCCTGCAGCCTGCAATAATTACATAATTAAGCAAAAAAGGCTTGTTTAAACACTATGAGCATAAGATGACTCAACTTTCATTTCCCCCCCTACATGAAGCTATCTGTTCACCACTAACAGAAGCATATTTTAAAAAAGGACTGGAAGGGACATTAATACTTAGTTTACTCCCCTGTGCCAAGATAAACTCAAGTACCCCTAAACCATGACTGACAGTCTGCTCTTAAAAACTTCCAGTGATAGAGATTTGACAGCCTCTCAAGGTAATCTACTCCCTTGCTGAACTAGCCTTATAGTTATAAAGCTTTTTGTGATGTCTAACCTAAAATTTCCTTGTTCCAATTTAATTCCATTTCTTTTTGTCCTGTCTCCAGTAGACAGATGGATCATAGTTCCTCTTTGCAGTAACCATTACATATTTGAAGACTAGGGCGATGTGAAGCTTCAGGTGCTGATTCGATTCATAGGAGATTCAGCCCAATTCAGTGGCTGAATCTCCAAATCCAAATCAAATCAGGGCTAATTAAAAGGTCCAAATTGATTCAAAGCTCTCCGAATCGATTTGGAAAGGATTCGGAGAGCTTCGGCAATTCGGGCAGTCCCCGTTCACTGCAGCAAGGAGCTGGACCTGGACTCCATGCTGGTAAGTAGGGGGTGGGGGAGGGGGTGCTGGAGGAAGGGAGAAGGGAGCATGGGGGGACCCCTACCAGGCCCCATCCCCTGCCTGCTACCCCAGCCCTCCTGAGTGTCCCCCGACAAAAAAAACAAAAAAACAAACCCCCGTACTCACCAGCTGCTGCAGAGGCCTTGGATCTTCTGTGAGCTTGTGGAAGAGCCCCACCATGTAGCATGAGGGAGTGGGGGGCAGTAGGGATAGCGCACACACACACACACACACAGCCCCACCAGGCAGGAGCCAATGAGTCCAGGGGGTTTTGTTTGTTTGTTTTTTAAAGGGCCAGGAGCTGGGACAGGTGGGGCAGCCATGGAGGGGCCTGGGAGAGTGCGGGCAGGGGTCAGGGGGGTCATGACAGAACTACCCCACATGGTGTGTGGCAGTGGGGGTCAGGAACCATTGAATGGGGGGGCTTTTTTTCCAAAGAGCCAGGAGCTGGGGCCGTGCGGGGCAGCCATTGAGAGGGGGCGAGGGATGGGACCAATTCAGAAATTCGTCTGATTCAGCAGCAGCTGAATCTCTGATTTAGATTCACCTGAATCAATTAGGGACAGTGATTCGAATCACTGAATCGAATCACTGTTTCCTGAATTGGCCAAATCTGAATCCAAAGCGAATACTAGCTGCTTCACACAGGCCTATTGAAAATGACTATCTGTGCTCAGTCTTCTCATTTCTAAACTAAAACCTAATTCTTTCAATTTTTCCTCATAGGTCAAGTCTCCTAAACCTCTGATCATTTCATTTGCTCTCTTCTGAAATCTCTCCATCTGGTCCACATCTTTGTTGAAATGTAGTGCCCAAACTTGAACATAATACTCCAGTTGAGGCCTTACCAGTAGAAGAATTACTTTCTGTATCTTACATACGTCACTCCTGTTTATACATCCCAGTGTGGTAGTTGCTTTTTCTTAATAGCATGGCATTGTTCATGTGCAGTTTGTGATAAGCCTCATGTCCTTTCTGCATAGCTGCTGCCTAGCCAGCCATTCACCATATATTTGTGAAGCTGAATGTAGTACTTTGAACTGCATTCTATTTTGCATTCTATTTTTTTAATTGCATTCTATTTATTTCAGACCATTTCTCCAGATGCTCCTTTTTAAAATCTTATCCTGTCCCCTGAAGTACTACGAACCTGCTCCAGTCAGCAAAAGTTTTCCCAGTACAGATATTGTGCAAGGCTGACTACAGCTATGCTAGGAAGACTCCTTTAGAAGTCCTGATGTTGGAGCATGCTAATACAGGCAGTCCTCAGACCTACGACACAATTGGTTCCTGAAAAACATGTCTTAAGTCGAAATGTTGTAACTTGGAACCAATTTTCTCATAAGAAACAATGTTATAAATGGGGGATTGGTTCCTGAATCAAGGCCTGATACCCTATTTTCACCAGAAATACCCCAGAATTTTGTACTCGATCAATTATAGATGAATAATATAGCTACATCAATGTATTTATATTGTAAATAGCAATCATATTGATTTGGAAGGACTTCTTTGAGTTGACTTTCCTGGACTTTTTGAAAGGCTCTTGGTTGGACTTTTTGAAGGGTTCTTGGCTGGAGTCTTCTCAGGAGTCTTGGCTGCAGGTTTCTCTGGAGTCTTGTCTGCTTTCTTAAAGAAAGTGTCCAAGGAAGTTTGGACAGATGTTCTCCAGGGAGATGGGCGACGCAGCAAACTTGTTCGCTGGTGTGGCGTCACATCGGATCAAGTGTTGTAAGTTGAAACTGACATCATAAAGTTGAAAAGGGGCATCAATTTATAAACATTGTAAGTGCAAAACATTTTAACTCGAAACATTGTAAGTCGAGGACTGCCTGTATTTGATTGTTGTAGGCCATTAATACTTTAGCAATTCTGGAAAACACACATAGGCAGTTTTGAAAAACTCAGAGATGTCGCCTGGCCTCTGCTCAGGCTACTTAAATTATAGGAGTGTCCTTTTTGTCTACCAGAGCAATCTAGAATCATTCTGGAGCCTGCTTATCTTTTCTGCCTCTCTCTCAGCTTGGAAATTTATACAAAAGATGCAGCATATAATTTCATTCCCAGGTATCTGCAGTATATAAAATGAGTCCTTTAGTTTCTCATCCTACATTCTAGTGACTTTGTATGTGAACACTATAAACCAGAATTGAGCATACAGGTCCCAAATTCTGCATGCTGGGAGCAATTGAGTATTTATAAGTATATGCTTAGCTCTATAAGTACATAATGGAAGCTGGTTTGGGGCCCATTTGAAAATACAATCCCAAAACATCAGGTATGCTAATGAGAAGTTGTTCACTGCAATACTAAAATAAGTTACCAAATTTAGCAGAATCTATTGAGTAATCCTAAAAAGTCATACAAACAGATGAGGAAATTGATTAAGAGAATTTGAGAGACTTGTCCAAAGCCACAAAGGTATAAGAAATCATAATGACGCATTACCAGTGCCAGCCAGCTGTGTAAATATTTATACGTAAAGTATTTTATATAAAACTGACTAATGCAAGGAATAATTGTTCTTTCAGTTTTTTGCAAAATAAATAAGATGAGTGTGTTGTAATTTTCATTAAAAGTGAGAAGTGTAAATTACTTGTTCTCTTTGGTTGATGGTCTGAATGATTTTTACTAAGGTGCATGCTAGACTGAAATTGCTGGAAGTTAGAGAAAGCTTCATACCTCCACTAGTTTGTCTGAGTCTGCCAACTTTTAGCATGCAGAAGGATAAATTCTAGTTCACCCACTAAATGTCAACTGCATAGCTGCCAGCAAAATTATATGGCCTGGAAGAACATTCTACTTTTCCACAGAGCCATGCATCTCTCCTGTTCATTTCAGTGGGCAGCACTTAGACAGCTCTGAAACAGATTGCTGTTTACCGAAGAGAGGCATGGATCCTTCAATGGAAAATTTTAAGCTCTGTCTGGTCAGAATGCTACTTTCCCCTCACTGTATGATGCATATGCATCTTAGCAGGCCTGTGACCTGGACAGATAGACAGCTATGAGGCCAACTGCATTTACCTACCAAAGACGTTACTTCTCCTCCTAAAATAACATAGCTATTAGAGAAGTCACCAAGGATAATGGGCACTTGGTTTCTAGACCCCATTAGTCTCAGGACATTTGGACCCACACTTCTTATATCCCAGCTGAGTGTCCTAATCCCCAGAGTTATGGGACAAGATTTTGAGTACCTTCCATCCCACGCCCCAACCCCAGAAGCTGGGCTACTGGATATCTAAGAGGGAAAGA